CCGATGTTACACTTATCAAGAGCTTTCATTTGAGTACCCACATGCATTTTTTATATATTTTTCATATATACATATATATAAATATACGAAAAATTGATGTGGGTACTCAAACGAAAGGTCTCGATGAGTGTAACATCAGGATGAGCTTATATCTTTAAAAATGTCAATAGTTCACAAGATACAAGATAATGTCTTAATTATGTATCTAGAAATAAAGCATTTTCAAATGCTACCTAAGTACATCATCATAAATTGACTATTGGTAAGAATGATATGAAACCTTAAAAAGGCTCAATTCCCTTCTAATGATACCAAATTTAAATATAAAAACCCATTGTATCATATAAATACACTGGCCACAAAATTTTCCTTATCCTCTTAAATAAATTTAATTTTCTATCAGTAGAAGAATAATTTTTTAATATATTAAAAAAAAAAAATTTAGGTACAGGTGTTAGTTACCTGAGTACCACTACCGTTGACACTCTGTGCATTAGAAGCACCCCCCATTTGCCGTAAGTAATCTTTGTCGTCGAAGATTTTTTTATCACCGCCTCCTGGTTTATGTTTCATATTATCCATCGAGCCGATTTTACTCTCCGCTTTGATATCGATCTTCTGTGTCTCGATCTACCATTCAATTATGCAAATATTCTCTTAAATAATCATCCCCATTAACAAGCGTGACATAGTTAAATCAATTATATAAAAAAAAAGTAAAGATAGACAATAATTATTTAATTATAAAAAAAAAGTAACGCATGCATAAAGTGAAAGCAAGCATTAATCAAGAAGGTCATATGTGCACTTGTTTGTAAAAAAATAACAAAACCTCGCCGAATTATATCAGCGTCGACTTACATTGTCGGAAAACTCCTGGGGTGTCTTGGGCGTCGTCGCACCCGACTGGTGTGAGAAAATTAAAATGATAATGATAAAAATTCTGATAATCATGCTAACAAATTATTAATTAACATTAGCAAAATTTAAATAACATTTTATTAGACAAAGTATTAGATTTGTAGTTTGTAACTCATCGCTCTCTTGGTACTTTTATCGACATAAATAAAAATAAATTCTAGGGCGCGAAAATGTCATTCCACATGCAAAGTTTCGCTCTCCTACGCGTCTATTTACAAACACTCGATACATGTAATGAGACTAATTAGGAGAGAGAGACCTTGTTAACGCTGACTCACAAAAAATAACTACTAGAATTATTATAATATATATCGAAACATCTAATTTTTTACGAGTAAAAACTATCGATTACTGTTCCAAGAAACCGCTTGGTCCTTTTTTTTTTCTTTTTATAATTTATTGTAATTTTAGTCGGACTTGGTAATTACTTCCGCCAATTACTTATACTAGTAATAGAATCATTTAGCTCGCTCGAGAAAAACGATCTGTTTAAATTTAATAGAGAACTTGCATTAATTTAATCTCAATAAAAATTATTTTTTAAATTATAAATAATATTTATTTAGAGGTTTTTTTTTTTTTAATTCAAAAATAACAGTGAATAATAATTTTTTAATTGTAAAAATTAACAAAATTAATGTTTAAATATCAGAACAAAAATTTTATAAATGTTAAAGCTATTAAAAATAATTAATTTTTCTAAAAAAATTTTTAGAGGTTTAGAAATTTATTAAAATTTAATTAATTTTTAATATTATTGAAAACTATTTAAATTAAGGAGGTCCTTTCGCCATCAATGTTAAATAAAAAATATTAGATTATGCATAAAATTAAGTTTTATCTAATAGTTAAAGTCCTTATTCATCTACTAGTGAAGTTTAATTTATTCTTCACACGGAGAGAAATGGATGGCGTTTAACACTATGTCAGTATGGTCTCCAGACCGATACTAAAATAGTATGTGTAATATTGCAATTCAGTATTGTAACGAGTCCCATAAGTATGGCGTTATTTACTATGTAGTATAGTAATGATGCTATTGTATTTTTTACACGTATGCATAGCAGGCTTGGCAAGACAGTATGGTCCTGAGACCCATACTACATTGCTGATGACGCAAGGGTACTAGCGGTTCCCGCTATAATTTTTGGCGTGTTAAGCAATTAAACTCTTGTGTTACCACCAAAACAACACTGACGGAAAGATTTGTTTTTATTTAATAAGCTTTATTAACTGTTAATAAATGATTTTGTAACATCATAGGATTTAATAAATATTTATTAAAAGTTAAAAAATTATTTATTAAATACGATTTATTAAATGTTAATAAATATTTGTTAAGAGTTAACGAATATTTATTAACAGTTAATAAATATTTATTAATGATTAATGAATATTTCTTAACTGTTAACAAATATTTATTTAAAATAAAAAACAAAAATAGTAATTTTCTTTTGACACTTCTTATGATTCTATAGCTGAAATACATGATAATAATTCAATTCACTAAATAAATTAACGATTTCAATATTTAAAAATATAAAAGATAATTATGAGCTGTGATAGAATTTGATATTTTACAATAAACGTTATTATAATGTAATATAATTAATG